ATCCCAATATATCCCAGGGCTCAGGTCCCTTCCCCAGTCTCTCCCAAAGCTCCTAGATTCTGCTTCAAATCTCTTTCTGACCTGGATCTTGGTATCAGGAGGGGTCAGCACCATGGGTCTCTGGACAGCTCCACAGGCCCTCCTTCCAAAAGGGTCTTTCTGCTTTGTATTAGCGCCCTTGGTGTATTTTAAAATGAGACATCTGTAAACAAATACTCTTCACTGTACGTTGACATTTGCAGGAGGTTTCTCCAACCCTCGTGCATTGCTGTTCATTGGCTAAATTCCCTGCTTTCAGCAACCCTTCTGGCCAGGTGCCTGATTCCTTTCTACTCCTGGAGTTTTTCTCTTTGAGTATCCATTTTTAGCAGTACTTTAAGGAACTTTTGCTGGACTGACCAAGTTGGTATCCATATCTTTCTCTTCCATCCAGGCAGATCAATTTCTCGAAAAGAGCATCCTTTTGGGATAGATCATCAGGACACTGCCAGACCTACTCAGGCAGGTGCATTTAGACATAATATGAATGGTTTTTCCTTCTTCACACTCTCTCCCCCAAATACACAGCACATTCCTCCCCTGTCGAACTCACAAGGCAAATTACTGAGAAATGTCAACAATGAATGCTTACTCAATGTTATCACTCCTTTTTCTCCTTTTGCTGAATTAAGGCAGGTGGTAAACAACATGACCTGCGCACTGTCAAGCACAGGAAAAAGGGTGACATTTCCCTACTTGTGGGCATGAAAGGTAAACCCACAAGCAGACTCCGGGGCTGCCTGGGGGTAGGTGAGTATTGAGTCACATCCAAGTTCACCTCAGAAGCCCTCACTGACAGTTTCTCCTATTCAAAGCCTTCTTTTCATTCTATCCTTCCCAACACCCACATGGTACTGGCAAAGGAAAATAGACAGGGAATAGCAAGAAGAGCTAATCAGAGCTACAGAGTAGGTCAGGGCATTTCAAGTTCACAGAAGCTTCACACCAAAAGATTATTTGGGGGCTCATCTACCCACTCATATTACAGGACAAAGAACTGGAGCTTTGAAGGATAAATGACTTGTTCAAGGTCACGGTGAGCCAGAAGGGCTATTTCTAGATCATAATCAACATTAAGTTCCCAAACTGCATTTTAGCATTCAATTTCTACTCAAATTTATTTTATTAAAATCTTCAATGCCTATCTCAAGTTCTTTCTGGTTCATGAGGTATCCCCAATCTTCTCCAAGTATATAGAGGTGTCTTTCTTTCCTAATGTCACAGAATGCATCATCTCCATCACTTACTGGTACCAACAGATAGAATGTCCTTTGATATCCTCTGAGTCATGAAACTTTAAGCCGACAGGGTCAGTGCAGGTCATTTATCTCATGTCCTACTTTCAAACTGTCATCCTGCGGCTCAGCAAGGTAAGAGAAATTCAGCTGGAGAATGGTTCTTGTCTTGTTGATGATTCTTATACTTCCCTGCTCAGCACCATGGCCTGCATAAATGGCATATTGGGTTCAGAAAGGCAGCCTGGCAATCACCAATAAATTCTGATTTCAGTTCTGGGTCTACCATTTACTCACAGTGTACCTTAGGACTAGGACTAGGTACCTGACCTCTAAGAATGCTTTCTCATCTGCCAAATGGGAGTAACAGTCGTGCCCAGCCCATATATCTAACGTGAATTAATAATACAAGGCAAGAGTAAAACTCTTAGCACCACATTAAAGATTCAATAACTGCTTGCTATTCCTTGATCACCTTCAGGGAAACTCACTTTGTCACTGTCACTGACTTATAATCAGATTCTAAAGAAGAGGCCCAAGCACAGAAACTTGGAGAATCTTTCACATCTGAGAGAAACCTCCATCTACTTAAAAAAAGGTCGGAACTTGATAGGAAGAGGAGACATATGAAAAGAAAGCCACCTGAAGAACAATCCTTTTCCCTCTGGGCATTATACTAATGAAGACAATAACTCAAATAAGAGAGGCAGAACGCAGAGAGGCAGAGCCAAATAGAATGGTGATTTTGGTGAATGGGGATGCTGGGTAGACCATGTGTGCAAAATTGCTTTGGGGTCCCCCAACTGGATTTAGGATAAAATGGGAAGTCTGCCTTTTGCTTGCTTGTCCCCCATTAATGGAGGGATGTTTAACACCAGCATCTCCCGACAAGCCCCAAAGCATGGCAGGAGGTTATTGGCAGACACCATCGCCCCCTAGTGGTGGCACCACACTCCCCACTACTGCCAGGCCTTGGGGCCAAACTGCACACCCAGCTGTGGTATCCCACCGTCTACAGATTCCCTGAACTGACAAACTAGAAAGTCTCGCCTACCTCGCCAATGACAAACATTAAACAAGATGTTTAAAAGGCCTAGAGATGGGCTGAGACTACCTTGGGACCTCAGAAAAGGGGTGACCATAAATAACTAATTCTGCCCTCCCCACCCGCTGCTACCACCACATTCATCGCCAGCCAGCCTGGCCCTCCAAGAGCTTATTGTGCACTCCTTGTTTACATGCAAACAGTCGAAGACCAACACAAATAAAAAGCCCACGTCTCCCTACACAGCTCCTGCTATACCCTGCCATCTGGTGACTACCTCGCTAGCCAAATCCCTGTGGAGAGCACTTGAGCTGCCAGTCCAGGGCGCTGAGGGGAGGAGGAGGTGGGAACCCAATTCCTGTGTGTATCTCAAGGACTCCGTGCTGCCAAGGGGAGAGCACCTGGCCACTCCAGAGGACAGGCAGTCCCAGGCGTCCAGGCACAGGGGCTGTTCCTCAGAGAAAGCAGAAGGCTCCAAGCCCAGGGAACCTGGGGACTCTCAAGGGGTCACGTGGACGCTGGGGAGTTCAAGGCTTCCCGGATCCTCAGGTTCCAAGAGGCACCCATCCCCTTGAAAATCAAAGTCAAAAATGGCAAGGGCTACTTTGCTCCAGGAATGTTGGGGCCTCAGTCGCTGGCTGGACCGCGTCCTCCACATCTTTAAGGAGTTCTTGGAATGCTCTGGGGTTCTCCCTGCCAAGTCAGGCCAAGTTCAGGGCAGATTCCCTTCTTCCTTGTTTGGAGGACCATTTCCACCCCTACCCCCCCCCCCCCAACCAGCTCTCAGGTCTCAGCAGAGCAGAGGGAACAAGAGGACTGAGGGAAAAGGGTGGGTTTGGAAGTGGCAGCAAAGGGCTGGTCGCCTTCTCTGTCTCCAGCAGGATCCTGCAACTGCCAGCTATCCCCCCCCCC